CCCCCAGCCCCTCCTCCCTCGGACCCGGGAGTCCAGGCCCCCAGCCCCTCCTCCCTCGGACCCGGGAGTCCAGGCCCCCAGCCCCTCCTCCCTCGGACCCGGGAGTCCAGACCCCCAGCCCCTCTTCCCTCGGACCCAGGGGTCCAGACTCCCACCGTCTCCTCCCTCAGACCCACGAGTTGAAGCCTCCATCAACTCTCCCTCAACTTTCAGACTGGGGAGTGAGGACCCTAAGTCCACCCCAGAGACAGGAAACCTGGAGTTCAGGGCCCAGACTTCTGGGTCCAAGCGCTGACAGCCCCTCTCCCCCGGCTCGGCCCGCAGACTCCAGCTCCTCCGACTACACGAGGGAGAACCTGGTCCGCCTGGGGCTGGCCGGTCTGGTCCTCATCTCCCTGGGCGTGCTGGTCGCTTTTGACTGTCGCAGCCAGAACCACGCTCCTGCTGGCGTCCGCCCCTGAACCCCAGGAGCACTGCAACCCCAGAAGACTTCCAACCTGAGTGGCAGAGAAGCTGGGACCCTGGGCTGCACTGTCCATTCCTGTGGGAGATGGGTCAGCGTCGGGGGAGAAACTAGGGAAAGGGGGAAGGCTCTGCACAGCTTACAATAGTTGAAGGCAGCTGTTCTCACCCTGAGGGAGAGGGCCCGGAGTCTGTGCCAGTGAGCGAAGGGGAAGTTATCTCCATCAGCCTCGTCCGTTTCAACGTGTCCAGAAACTGCCCTTTCCCATCCGCCCTCCCATCCCCGCCTGTGAAGTCCCTGAAAGGGAAACAATAAATGTTAATTATTCGCAGACTGTGTTTGCTCCAGGCTTTCGGCATTGCGCCGGCACTCAATAAAAGCAAGCGGCTCCTGCTTTTCGGGGCGGGGCAGTCCCCTAGCTGCTCTTACACTGCATACCTGTGTGTGAGTGCTCATTTCATCCGTCGGGGGACAGACCCGCACTTTCCCGCAGCCGCGCGGCCCTGCTGGCTGAGCCCGTCGGAACCATCCTTCCACCACCGCCTCCCCGCCCCCGCCCCCACCCCGCATTGCCCTGCGCTGTGGCTTCTTTCCGGGCCTTTCCCAAGGAGCAGCTGAGTGAAAGACAGGATCAGTGGTTAAGGCGTCCGAGCCAGGAGACTGGGGTTCGAATCCCAGCGCTGCCATCAACTCAGTGGAGCATTCGGAAAGTGCCCTTCCCCAACTCTCTCTTGCCTTGACGGTAACACGGACGCACTGATAAAACCTACTTCATAGAATTGTTGTAGGATTCAGTGGGTAATACACATCAAACACTTAAAACAGTAACTGGCTTGCAGTAAATTCTCAGTAAATGTTAGCTATCCTATAACACCAATTTCTACCAGACTCAGCGCTGAAAGGAAGGTCTCATCTTTTTTAAATCAAGCATAATCAAGCACAGTTTTTTTTTTTTTTTTTTTGAGAGAAAGTCTCACTCCGTCACCCAGGCTGGAGTGCAGCGGTTCAATCTTGGCTCACTGCAACCTCTGCCTCCTGGGTTCAAGTGATTCTTATGCTTCAGCCTCCTGAGTAGCTGGGATTACAGGTGTGTGCCACCATGCCCAGCTAAGTTTCGTATTTTTAGTAGAGGTGGAGTTTTGCCATGTTGACCAGGGAGGTCTTGAACTCCTGACCTCAAGTGATCCACCTGCCTTGGCCTCCCAAAGTTCTGGGATTATAGGCATGAGCCACCGCACCCCTCCCTCCCTTTCTCTTCTTGTCTTTTCTTTTTGTGAGATAAGCCTTACTCTCTTGCCCAGGCTAGACTCCAGTGGCATGATCAAGGCTCACTGCCGCTTCGATCTCCCAGCTTAAGTGATCTCCCCACCTCAGCCTTCCAAGTAGCAAGAACCACAGGTGCAGGCCACCATACCTGGCTGATTTGTTTTTACATTTTTTTGTAGAAACAAGGTCTCTCTATGTTGCCCAGGCTGATTTCCAACTCCGGAGGTCAGGTGATCCTCCTGCCTCTGCCTCCTGAAGTGTGGGGATCATAGGTGTGAGCCACCCACGCAGACTGCTTCCTCCTTTCTTGACTTGCGCCCTAATTTTGGCAGAGCAGACACATTCTTCTACTTTTGTTGTTTTTCAGCTTCTCCTTCCCCTGTTCCCACTTTATGGAGAAGAGACTGACTTCTAGTGCTTGGACAGCCCAGCTGCGCCATGCTGGGCAAACTGGAGCAGTGTGCAGACCCTTCTGAGTTTTCATCTGAGAAAGGGAAATCCAAAAATATCTACCTTGTCAGTCCTCGAGAGAAATAAATGAGGCAACTTGTCCCCAACACATGAAGAAACATTAGGAAATCTTAGATCAGAGGCTTTAACTCCTCTGACCCCAACCCCTCCTCTTTTTTTTTTTTGAGATGGAGTTTCTCTCTTGTTGCCCAGGAAGGTGTGCAATAGCGTGATCTTAGCTCACTGCAATCTCTGCCTCCCAGGTTCAAGGATTCTCCATCTCAGCCTCCCAAGTAGCTGGGGTTACAGGCATCTGCCACCATGCCTGGCTAATTTTTTGTATTTTTATTAGAAATGGGGTTACGTTATGTTGGCCAGGCAGGTCTCCAACTCCTAACCTCAAGTGATCCGCCTGCCTCTGCCTCCCAAAGTGCTGGGATTACAGGCGTGAGCCACTGCACCTGGCCAGTAGAGAGGAGAATTAAACAGATATGGTGCTGGCCCTCATGGAGAGTAGAGTCTACCAGAAGTTTTCTGGAAAAGTCTTAAACATCCTTTTTTATGCCTAACCTCCCTCAGCATGCATTCAGTATTAAATAATTTGTGCAGGAGGTGGGTTTTATGAACAACAAATGAAAAAGAATAAAGAAAAAGGAATAAAAAATGTGTAATACCGGGCACTGTGGCTCACGCCTGTAATCTTAGCACTTTGGGTTGCCAAGGTGGGTGGATCACAAGGTCAGGAGTTTGAGACCAGCCTGGCCGATATAGTGAAATCCCGTCTTTACTAAGAATGCAAAAATTAGCCTGGTGTGGTGGTGCATGCCTGTAATCCCAGCTACTCAGTAGACTGAGGCAGGAGAACAGCTTCAACCTTGGAGGTGGACGTTGCAGTGAGCCGCGATCGCAGCACTGGGCTCCAGCCTGGGCAACAAGAGCAAAACTCCATATCAAAAAAAAGTTTAATGATTTTTCTTCTCTCTTGGGGAAAATATGGAAGTAAGATGTTCAGTCTGAACTGGACCCCTCTGAAGATAGGGTGTCCGCTGCTTAAATAGCTGTGCAACGTTAGTGCCACCACAAGGGGGCAGCCCTGCGCTGGCACTCTGGAAATCTGGTACTTACCCATCCACGCAATCAGAGGCTTGAACCGCAGCTGGGCTGAGTCTTGGCAGGACCCTTCTGATCCTCCCGGCACATAAGAGGATTCGGGGGTGTGGAGGATCTGCTTCGAGCCCATCTCCCTTTTACCTCCTGCGATATTGTGATATAGTAAGAAATACGTGTTTGGTCTTCAGCTCTGGTTCCAAAGACTCCCTTCTCACCCCATCACTCTGGAAACTCCAAAAATCCTTGGTGAGAAGGGTGTCTTTTGTTATACCCAGCACTTTGGGAGGCTGAGGCAGGTGGATAACTTGAGGTCAGGAGTTTGAGACCAGCCTGGCCAACGTGGCGAAAATCCATCTCTACTAAAAGTACAAAAATTAGCCAGGTGGAATTACGAGCCTGTAATTCCAGGTACTTGGCGGGGCTGGGGCAGGAGAATCACTTGAACCCGGGAGGCAGAGATTGCGGTGAGCTGAGATCACACCACTGCACTCCAGCCTGGGTGAGACCCTGTCTAAAAAAAAACCAAAAACCAAAAAACAAAACAGAATGTGGTTTGATAAGGTCATAAACTGAGAATATTCAAAAGACACTAAATGTGTTTTACATCTTGTGTAGTATGGAGATCTATGGATATTTATTACAGCGGCCAGTGTTCCATTCTCTGGTTCCATAAATCTGTCCCTTGAAGTATAATTTGCACAAAATAACCTGTAGGAGTCCAAAGACATTAGAAATTATTGCCAGTATTGCAATCATTATTTTGCAGGAGAAATCTTGGTGCTATTTGGTGGTCTTACTTACTATTTTATTGCCCTAGTAACAGTCTTATGACTGACGTCTGAATTTCTAAGCAGAATAAATCCTTGTAAAAACAATTTGTTAAATCAGAAGCTATGCATTGGTGTGTGTGTCTTAGTCTGTATTCTGTTGCTTAGAACAGAACACTTGAAACTGGATAACTTAGAAAGAAAAGGAATTGGCTTCTTGTCGTTATGGAGGCTGGGAAGTCCAAGATGGAGGGGTCACTGTCTGCTGAGGGCTTTCTTGCTGTTGAGGACTCTCTGGAGGGTCCCGAGGTGGCACGGGGTATTACAGGGCAAAGGGGCTGAGCAGACTACTCAGGTCCCTCTTCCTCTTCTGATAAAGCCACCGGTCTCACTCCCAGGGTAATTCATTAACTCATTAACTCATTAATTCATGAATGGATTAGTTCATTTGTAAGGAAAGAGTCCTCATGACCCAATCACCTCTTAAAGGCCTCACCTCTCAATATTGCCACATTGGGAATTCAGATTCAACATGAGTTTATTTATCTATTTTAAAATGTATTTTTATTTATTTATTTTTAATACAGAGTCTCACTCTTGTTGCCCAGGCTGGAGCGCAATGTTGAGATCTCGGCTCACCAAAACCTCCGCCTCCTGGGTTCAAGCAATTCTACTGCCTCTGCCTCCCAAGTAGCTGGGATTATAGGCATGTACTACCATGCCTGGCCATTTTTTGTATTTTTAGTAGAGACAGGGTTTCTCCTTATTGGTCAGGTTGGTCTCGAACTCTTGACCTCAGGTGATCCGCCCGCCTCAGCCTCCCAAGGTGCTGGGATTACAGGCGTGAGCCACTGGGCTCAGCCTATTTATCTATTTTTTGAGACAGGGTATCACTCTGTTGCCCAGGCTGTTTCAACATGAGTTTTGAAGGGGACAAATCTTCAAACCACAGCAGCAGGTTACATTGTCTTTCTCCCACATTTATCATGGGGGAAAAAAATTAAAAGTCCAAGATTCTGCTAGACTTCTTACTTTAACGAGAGTCTGACAGTCTTGTTTCATTTCCATTGCAGCATCTATTAATAGTTCTCAGAGAAGAGCTGTCCTTTACTTTGACTATTATGAAGCATGGGGGAAAGACATTAAAAAGACACAGTTGTACAATTGATTATTTCGTTGCAGCTGAGATTAAGTGCTGTTAAAGAACATTCAGGGAAGTCTGCTAAAGAAAGGATTCTGAAGCTGGTTTCTGAGGGAAGAGCCAAAGTCAGCCAAGAAAACATGGGGGAAAAACTCCGGGTACAGGAACAGCATGTTTCAGGGCCTAAGATGGGAAGGAGTTTGTGTGTTTCAAGCCAGTGGTTCTCAAACTTTACTCCCAGGAACATTTAACACATGGAATGAGACACCCAGGTCTCATCCTATACCCATTATAAAAATTAAAATCTCTGGGGGTGGGACTCAGGCATTTAGTAAATATACATCTGTGTATTTCCATTGACCATAACACATGGCAGACTAAAGATGATCCCCAATTCTTTGTCACTGTCCCTATGGAGAAGTAGAGTTTATTTCCCCCCCAGCCCCTGCCACCCAGCCTTGAATCTGGCCTTTCCTTAAGACTGTAAAAGATGAGACACTGTGTCAGTTTCAGGCTTTGTCATTAAAGGGACAAACAACTTTGTCTTCTATTTTTTGAGACAGAGTCTCGTTCTGTCACCCAGGCTGGAGTGCAGTGGTGTGATCTCGGCCCACTGCAACCTCTGCCTCCCAGGCTCAAGCAATTATCCTGCCTCA